CTCTCTCTCTCTCTCTCTCTCTCTCTCTCTCTCTCTCTCTCTCTCTCTCTCTCTCTCTCTCTCTCTCTCTCTCTCTCTCTTTCTCTCTCTCCTGCGCCTACTCCTTTCTTTTTTAAGTAAAAAAGAACAATTTGGACCTTTTTTTGATTGCATTTCATCCTTGCACAGGGGCCATGCTAATCTTCTCGGTATCATTCCAATCATAGCGAATGTGGCCAAGGTCGGCTCTTGCTCCGCTCCTTCCTCCTCCTCACCATATACTTATCATACTCTGCTACATCCTCCCTTGTCCTCATACCGTCTCTATTCCATATAGAATTGCTGTCGTTGACTTATTATTTTGACTTATCATCGTTATGCACGTAAGCCTTGTCGTAAGGCAAAAAAAAAAAGAAGAAGAAGAAAAAGAGTCAAATAGGCATGCATACATTGGGGAATAGCATTGTAATTTACAACAGTACAGTATTATAGCACTGTGGCACTCACTTCCCGTACTGTAGCAGTGGATTGCGGAATACAGGCATACGTAGACATAGCAAACGAGTGTTATATAGTGGCATAATAGTGCTATAACTAGTATAAACTTACTATAAAGCCTGTAATGCTATTGAATTTCATGCTGACCTGTGCAATCTGATTCCCTACCTACTTTCTTTTTTTTTTTTTCCAAAAAGTTCCATTCCAGCCTATTAGAGGCCCCCTCCCATAGTAGACCTACTGCAGGATGCTCCTGTCTATTGGTGGGGCAGAATGCTCCTGTCTATTGGTGGGGCAGAATGCTCCTGTCTATTGGTGGGGAGCAGCACCTGCTGGAAACCGGGTCCAGCATCCCCTGAACATCGTGAATAAAGCACCAGCCGGGACCGTTTCCTGACTCTGAATAAGTAAAGATTGCAGTTGAGATGACGTGGGCCCGTGGGGCATGCGGGCCCAAAAATGGGTCCGGGAGAGCTCATCTCCTGCTTTTGCCATTCTCTGTTCCGTGTTCCGGCTTGGTCAGAGTAACTCCTCCAAGCACCTACTATTCTTTATGAAGCCTGCAGCCCAACCCCTGTTTGTCTATGATATAGAACTGATCCTGAAAAGGTATCACTTTGCAGTGACTGGTACGGCGGACCGCCTAAAAAGGGTGGATAGGTGGAACAGGGCATCATGGAGGGAGAGGATAGGAGGTGGGGTTGATCAGTTAGGAAGACAGGGGAGGGACTAAAGGGGCTGGGGGGTTGATGTGGAGGGGGAAGAAGGGTGAGAGAAGGGCCTGTTATGGTGTAGGTGAGAGGAACATTGAGGGTAATAGATAGGTTGAGTATGCACGGTAGTGTCTTCTACAGACGGAACCGTACTTTCATCCTTGAGCGGTGTAAAGAAGTGCTCCACTGATCGAAATATCCACTGTGATTAAATCGACGCTCCGTTTTTCCATAGCAATTTTTCTGTTTCCTGTAGTTGTGCCATTTTCCTATGGGGGTCATGCCAGGGCTCTTGGAAGGCTTCAACTGCCTGTAGTCTGGCTGATTGGTCCTTAATTCTTGCCAGTCCCGTTGTTACATCTTCGACGCCACACGGGTCCTACCGGACCCGACTTAGGGCTAGGGGGACACATCAGGGCCTAAAGGCCTGACCTTGGGGTACTACAGGACATAAAGGCCTCACCTTGGACCAGACCCGACGGGTAGGCCCAAACGACATTACCGTTTGGGCCTGGCAGCGCTCTCGAGGCTGCCGCCCGCCGGTTGGGGCTGAACCGTCCATCTGGACGGTTCAGGGCACGGCCAGGCCTCGCAGCATTGAGGCCGGCCTCTGCCCACCGGTATATAGAACCGGTCCAGCCTCAGTCCAGGATCTGTCTCTTATACACATCTAGATGTGTATAAGAGACAGGAATTGAAGAATGTAAGAGTAGGACGGACGAGGGGGGAGGGGGAGCAGGAGGAGGAGGGGGAGGGGGAGTAGGAGTAGGAGGAGGGGGGGGGTCAGCAGGAACGGCACCAGCAGCATCAGCAGCAACAGGAGGAGGAGGAGGAGGAGGAGGAGGAGGAGGAGGAATGAAGAAGTCGGTTCCTTCATATGTTCGGAAAGGAAGTGCACAGACTGAAAAGAATACGCCCCCAAGTCTTGTGGCGGCGACGTGTAATGGTAGTGGCGCTGCTGCATCACAGGACACATGGGGCTCTTCGGGGAAAGGATCTGTCTTGCATTTGGATTGTGCTGATGATCAGATAGAACAAGTGGAGGATCGCGTGCTGCGGAAACCTCCAACAGGGTACCGCCATCGTGGGAAACAAAGGAGTAGACCTGGGCAGCCAAACTCAGCTTCAGATCAAGTACTTGGGAACAGCGGGAACAACGGCAAAGGCACTGGCGGTATGAACAACAAAGCAAAGTTGTCAGAAGATGCTGGCAATGATGACGTACACATAGCTCTGGCCTCTCCCAGGGCAGGGACCATGGGTGGGACAATGTCTACCACTACTAGGCCATGTACGACGAGCAGCACAGGGCCGTGTAGTACCAGTAGCAGGCCCAAGATGATGACACTCTGGACGGATGAGGACGAGACCGTTTCCTTAAGTGAGTTGAAGCGGGGCCGCATTCGAAAAGATTTTACGCTGGCGACGTGGCAGGAGTCGAGTGCTGAGCTGGAATCGATCCCTGCCACAGAATTTGGAACAGAAACAAGTGCAGAGCGAACAAGAACCCAAGAGCACCCAGAGGCTATGACACGGAAAAGGCAGACCGGGCCATCGCCAACAGGTAAGGAGGGATTAAGACGAAAACAAAAAGTCAACGAAAGAAAACTGGTCACTTCTGCGCTTCCACACTTGTTTTTTTTTTCTCAGAGAGGATAGGACTTGAGAAAGTTGAGATTCCATTCACTTCTTGTTTTCTTCCCCACAATGTTCTACCGCCTCCTCCTCCTCCTCCTCTCCTCCTCCTCCTCCTATGAACCCTACGAATCCGACTGTTCCAACTGCTACTGCAATTTCTTCTTCCTCCTCCTCTTACTCCTACTCCCACTCCTAGTCCTTCTACTCCTCCTCCTACTCCCCCTATGAATCCTTCTCCTACTCCTACCACTACTGCTCCCTGCGCTGCTCCTTGTCCTGTTTCTGTTCCGCCAACTCCTCGAACTATTACTGCTGGCCATTGTATGCCGCCTCCAACTCCTGCGTCTCTTTCTCCTCCTTTTCTTTGTCCTACACCTCCACCCAGTTGCAGTCCTCGTTTCCTCTCCTTCCTATGCTTCTTTCTCCATCCTATCCTGGCTGTGCTGTTGTTTTTCCTGCTGTTCCTCACTTCCCGCACCTCCTTCCTCTCGTCCTTGCACTCTTGATGCACTTCCCCTCTTCCATCTTCTCTTTTTCTTCTTCTCTGCTACCTCCACCATTCCGCCACTCTTCCTTCTGCTCTTGCGCACGCTGCTCTTTCTCTCTCACTCCTCTTACTCCTCTTACTCCTTGCCGTCCTCCTCGCCCTCCTCCTTGCCCTCTTGTCACACTGCTGATGTTTTTCCCCTCTTCTTTCTCCCTTCTTCTTCTCTGCCGCCTCCATCATTCCATGGTTATTATGCTTCGCCCTCTGCTATGCCTCCTGCTCCTCACACTGCTGCT